CTATTTTTTTTTAGGTTTATCTTTGTTCTTTTTTTGGGAGTGTTGTTAAGATACAACTTTGTAACTCTAGATTTAATTTTTTGTAACCACATCACATTGGTCAATGAATGCTTACCTCTTTTGAAATGTGATAAATACCATCCAGCTGTGATTGCAAACATCTGTGATATTAATACTCCTATTTTGAAATCTATCGAACCGTGTTTTTATCGTGATTTTGGAAATGCCCCCTATGAACTAATTGATAATTACCTATCAAATGTAAACTGGAATTTCTTAAACAATTTCTTTGATATTAATCAATGTGTAAGTGCTTTCTATAGTATAATCAATTATGTAATCGAAACATTCATTCCGTTAAAAAAATGTCAAAATAATAATAAATTTCCCAGTTGGATAGATAATTCTACTAAATCTTTAATTATACAGAAGAAAATAGCTCATAAGGATTATAAAAAATCTAATTCACATTATGATTACGTAAGATTTGCTCAATTAAGATACGAATGTAAAGAGGCTATTCACAATTGTAGACAATTATATATTGATAAGGTGGAAAATAATATAATATCTAATTCAAAAATGTTTTGGAACTATGTAAAAGCCAATAAACAGAACAGTGGCTTTCCTAAAACAATGTATTATAATGACGTGGAAGCTCATTCTTCATTTGACATAGCTGACTTGTTTGCATCATATTTTCAATCTGTATTTAGTCATCCTGATCCCGATGTTAATTTCTGTGATACTTATTACTGTGATACTGCTTTAGATTTAAATTTTATTCATATCACCTACGATGATATCTTGAAAAAAGTGCAATCTTTTAATAACTCTAGTCACCCAGGACCAGATGGTGTTCCTGCGATCTTTGTTAAAAAATGTCTGCTTTCTCTGATTAATCCACTTCAAATAATGTTCAATAAATCATTGTCTTTATCTGTATTTCCAGATTGTTGGAAAAAGTCCTTTGTCTTGCCAATATTTAAAAGTGGCTCTAGAAATATTATTAGTAATTATCGTGGTGTCTCTAAATTACCATTTATTCCTAAGATCTTTGATGCAATTATTGCAGATTTTTTATTTGCTAGTGTGAAAGAAACTATTATTACTGAGCAACATGGTTTTTTCAGTGGGAGATCAACTACCACCAATTTATTTCTTTTCACGGAATTTGTTACTAATATGAATGAACTGGGATCGGAAGTTGATTGTATTTTTACTGATATTAGCAAAGCATTCGATTCAGTCAACATTAAACATTTGATGAATAAATTAAAACATTTTGGGATATTTGATCCTTTGCTTGGCTGGATAGAATGCTACTTAACAAATCGTAAGTCGCACGTTGAATTTAATGGCATATTATCTAAATCAATTGATGCATGTTCTGGTGTTCCGCAAGGCTCCCACTTGGGACCTATTCTGTTCTTATTATATGTCAACGATGTAAAATATGTATTTCAAAACAGTCTTTTTCTATTATATGCTGATGACTTGAAATTGTTTAGAGCTATCAATTCTCCCTTTGATTGTATTTTACTTCAAAAAGACCTAGATAAGTTTAAAATGTGGTGTTCAGATAATAGTCTTAAGCTTAACGTACACAAATGTAAATCTATGAGATTCTCTAAAAAAATTGTTAAAGTACCTGAATTCAATTATAATATTTCGGATGTAGTTGTAGAACAAGTAGCATATTTTTGTGACTTGGGTGTAATGTTAGATCCAAAATTAGCCTTTACTCTACATGTTGATAAAATTGTCAATAAAATTAATAAAACCTTGGGATTTGTTCTAAGACAATGTCAGGAGTTTACTAGCCTTCGTGTCTTTTGCATTTTATATAACTCATATGTTCGCTCATTATTAGAGTACTGCTGTATAATTTGGTCACCTTACTATCAGCTCTATATATCTAGACTTGAAAAAATTCAAAGAAAGTTCATTAAATTTTTATGTTTTAAACTAAATGTTATATTTGATAAGAATAATTACGAACTCATAGTTAAATATTTCGGGCTTAGTTTCTTAATAAGTCGTCGCCATTACTTTGATTTGTGCTTTGTTTTTAATGTGTTAAATAACCGTGTAAATTGTTCCGACATTCTTAATATGTTTTCTTTACATGTACCTAATCGCGCCACAAGAGGTTCTCATTTGCTCCAAGTGCCTTTCCATCGCACACTATATGCTCAAAAATCTCCGTTTTGCCGCATGGCTAAACTGGCGATGGAGTATAATGATCTGAACTTTTGTGGTGTGTCAATTAATGTTTTTAAGAGGGAGCTGAAGAATGCTTTAAATATGTAAAGTGTAACTATTGTTGTGATTTGTAATGGTATATTTCCGTAAATAAACTATTATTATTATTATTATTATATACCCCAAGACACCTAGTGAGAAAAATACTTACTTAAAGACAAGTTCGAAAATGTAGTAAAATATAGATGTCCCATTTGAAAAGTATGGGAAAACAGACAGCTTGCAAATTTTTTCACCCTGTATAAATGAGGTAAAAGGTAAAAATAAAGTTTTGAGTAAAATATTAAACCTCCATTATTTAAAATGGTGGGGCTGTGAATTTTGCATGAAGTTTTTCTGATTATCTTGCTTTATAAACATCAAAATATAGAACGAAGTTTTAATTTATCTATTATACAGGTGATTAAATTTGCAAATTTTCATATTGTTTAAATGGGATGCTTATATTTTATGATAATTTAGATCTCATCTCTATTACGAATATTTCTTTTCAAACTAAATTCTTTGAAATTTTTCAGTGTTCGTTTTTGGAAATGTTGTTAGAATAAACTCCAAGAAACTTAGTAACAAAAGAAAACTTACTTAGAGGCTAGTTAGAAAACGTTGTAAAATATAGGTGTCCCATTTGAAAAACATAAGAAAACAGACAATATACAAATTTGCTCACCCTGTATAAATACGTTTACATCTTGTCCATTTTTTTTACAAATGTTAAACCAAAGTAGATAAAAAGTTTTGTATAAAACTGAAACCTCATTTTTTTTTAAATAGCGTTGTTGTGAATTTTGCACAAAGCTTGTTAGTTACCTTGTTCGATAGACGCCAAAAAATGGAAAGAAATTTTGAGTTATCTGTTATACAGGGTGACTGAACTTGCAAATTTTTCATATTGTTTAAATGGGACACATTTATTTTAGGACATTTTAGATGTTATCTCTATTACGAACATTTCTTTTAAAACCAAATTCTTTGACATTTTTCATTGCTCTTTTTTGGAAATGTTACAATAAATTAGAAGAAACTTAGTAACAAAAGAAAACTTTCTTAGAGGCCAGTTGGAAAACGTTGCAAAATATATGTGTCCCATTTGAAAAACATAAGAAAACAGACAAAATGCAAATTTGCTCACCCTGTATAAATACGTTTAAATCCTGTTCAATTTTTTTTGCATATGTTAAACCAAAGTAAATAAAAAGTTTTGTGTAAAACTCTAAACCTCCATTTTTTTTTTTTAAATGGCGGCGCTGTGAATTTCGCACAAAGCTATTTAGTTACCTTGTTCGATAAATGTCAAAAAATGGAAAGAAGTTTTGAGTTATCTGTTATACAGGGTGACTAAACTTGCAAATTTTTCATATTGTTTAAATGGGACACATTTATTTTCGGACATTTTAGATTTTATCTCTATTACAGACATTTCTTTTAAAATCAAATTCGGTGATATTTTTCATTGCTCTTTTTGGAAATATTAGAAAAAATTCCAAGAAACTTAGTAACAAAAGAAAACGTACTTAGAGGCCAGTTGGAAAACGTTGTAAAATATAGGTGTCCCATTTGAAAAACATAAGAAAACAGAGAATAAGCAAATTTGCTCACCCTGTATAAACACGTTTAAATCCTGTCCATTTTTTTTCACATATGTTAAATCAAGATAAATAAAAAGTTGCGTGTAAAACTCTAAACCTGCATTTTTTTTTTTAATGGCGTTGCTGTGAATTTTGCACAAAGTTTTTTAGTTACCTTGTTCGATAAACGTCAAAAAATGGAAAGAAGTTTTGACTTATCTGTTATACAGGGTGACTAAACTTGCAAATTTTTCATATTGTTTGAATGGACACATTTATTTTCGGACATTTTAGATCTTATCTCTATTACGGATATTTCTTTTAAAATTAAATCCTTTGACATTTTTCATTGTTCTTTTTTGGAAATGTTAGAATAAATTCCAAGAAACTTAGTAACAAAAGAAAACTTACTTAAAGGCCAGTTGGAAAACGTCGTAAAATATAGGTGTCCCATTTGAAAAACATAAGAAAACAGACAATTTGCAGATTTGCTCACCCTGTATAAATAAGTAAAGAATCTAAATCTTTAAAAATGTAGTGTTTAAAAAAAATTGAACTTGGCGATGTTTACATTAAACACCTTGTATATTTCATATACACAGGGACAATGTTTTGAAGCACAGGTCAAATATGCTGTGCTCAAGTGAAAAACATGACTTCACAAACTAATAAAATTTTAACTACATTTATGTTTTGGTTTCAGTATATTTTTTGCCATCTTGATTATTCGGTTGTTATGATGTAAAAATTCTGATCTATAGTGCCGTGATTTTTTGGATAGTTCCGTTTGGCTCTTATCTTTCCTTGCAAGTATTTTATGAATTTATTAACGCGTAGTTTTATGGCCACTCTGTATACACGCGTGCGAAAAAATCCGCCATAAATCTGCAATATTTAACTTTCCCGTGCAGATCGCGCTAAATTTAGCTCATATTTTCGCCAGCTTCTTGACATTTAAGCGCCTCGACCGGCGCATTCGGAAAATGAATAATCTTCGTTTTTTCCCTTTCACATTAGAAAGTTGCAACAACAAAGAAGTGCCATAAAGAGCACGGCACCGTTCTTCCGGGCTTGTTTACAGTCTCCTCGCGCTTCGCACTGCGAATTACGAAGACAAACGGAAAGAAAAAGTGAAAAGAAAAGAAAAGTACTTAGCTTATGTCTACCTACCCTTTACAAACATTACCGCATGATGCTAGGCCCAAAACAACCTGGAATATTTTAGTGTTAGAACGCACAAATATCAATAGAAAGGGATAATTGGGTGAAGCAAACGAAAACAAAAACGGTGATCGAAAAACAACAATAAAATAAATTAGGTAAGCGCATTCAAACAAAGCAATCGAGTGGATGAGAAACGGAGACGGATCGGGCTGATCGATACGCAATTTTCAGGTGGAGAATTTCAGCAGGCACGGGGATTTCGCGATCGATAAATTTCAGTAGTTCAGGACGTGTTCAGATCGTGCTTAAATGGGACTGAAGCGATGAGGTCGCAGGATCGAACTGTCGGTGGGTCGAATTTGGCGATTTATTGTGCGGATGCGGCCGGCGCCAGGGCCGGACCGGCGATTTTCGCAAAGAACAATATCCACAACTACTTAATGCATAATATTCAGTGTCATTATTATTACCAAGTCGAATAAAAAGGCTTAAATGCCTATAAAATGTAGTACCTAACATTATTATCATTTTTTTTAATTTAGTTATTATTGATGAGTAAAAAAATAAAAAATTATACATTAAAACAAAGGCATAGTAAAGGTAAAGTCGTAGGACAGAAAGAGATAAATAAAAAATGAGAATGAAAAAGTTGGGTCAGTAAAGTGAGATAAGTCAGCTGAAATCGAGATGAATGATAAAAACAGAGGAATAGATAAAAAGAATAAAAAACAAAAGCATCGAAGACGAAAAAATGACGTAAAATTTTGAAAGGAACAAATTCAAGAAGAATTTAAAGAAGGGATGTAGTAGGAAATAGACGAACAAATTTTGAAAAAAAAATCACATGAAAAAGCAAAACAAGAAATTCTGGATAATAACAAATTTAGTGCTTTATTTCTAAAAAAAAAAAAGCAACAATATCAGGGGCCCCTAGACTTCCAATCTCTGGGCGGGAGTGCTTTTTTTGAAAAAATTTGATAGAATTTTGGACTCCTTAAATCTTTTTTTTAAGAATTTGAAAGAATCTCTTATATTTTTTAACAAGCTCGAGGATCCCTAGTGCTTTTTTTTAACATTTTTTTTTTCTGAAAAAGGTTGAAAGAATCCCCAGGATCTTTTGTGTATGTTTTTAATAATTTCAAAGAATATCGGTGTTCCCGGTGTTTTTGATGAAAAAAGTTGCAACAACGTGTGAGACGGAAGAGGAGGGGGGTGTTTTTTTTCAAAATTTGAAAGAATTTTGGTCCGCTAGTGTTTTGTTTCTGAAAAATTTGAAAAAATCTCGAGGGTCCCTACTGCTTTTTAAGAATTTTTTAAAAGAAACTGAGAATCTCTGGTGTATTATTTATGAAAAAGTGGAAAAAATGAAAGGGGTGGTAGTGTTAGGTAGTGTTATTTTTGAAAAAATTGGAAGAATCTTGGACCTCTGGTGTCTTTTTTTAAAGAATCTCAGGGGCTCCTTTTATTTTTATATTTGAAAGAATTCGAAAGTTTTCTTGAAAAATTTTGAAGAATCTTGGACCCCTAGTGTTTTGTTTCTGAAAATTTTGAAAAAAAATCTCTGAGGTCCCGTATGCATTTAAAGAATTTTTTGAAATAAAATTGAAAGAATCTTGTATTTACTTAAAGAATCTCAGGGGCTCATTTCGTTTTCCTAAAAAAAGTTGGAAGAATCTCAGGGAATTTTGGGAGTCCCAATGGTTTTATTTCTGAAAGAATTAAAAAAAAAATCGAGGATTCCAAGTACCCTTTTTAATATATTTTTTTAATCTCAGGGTTTTCGGTTTTGTTTTTGAAAAATTTGGAAAAAATCTCAGGGTCCTCTGGTGTTTTGTTTTTGAAAGAAGCTGAAAGGATCTCGAAGAGGGGCTAGTTTTTTTTTTTAATTTTGAAGAATCTTGGACCCCCAAGTGTCTCTTTTTAAAATTTGAAAGAATCTCCGAGGTTCCATGTGTTTTATTTTTGAAAAAAGTTAAAATCCCAAATGTCTTTTTTAAGAATTTTGGAAGAAGTCTGGGGGTCGTTGATATTTTCCTTCTGAAAAAAGTTAAAAGAATTCTGGAAGTCCTTTGTGCCTTTTTTTAAGAATGTCAAAGAATCTCAAGGACCCCTTGTGTTTTATTTTTGAAAGAATTTGGAAGAATGTCAGGGGACCCTAGTGTTTTTGTTTTTGAAAAAAAAACTGAAAAAATCCCTAGGGGTCCTAATGTCTTTTATAAGAATTTTGGAAGAAATCTCGAGGGTCCCCAATCCCTTTTTTCACAAGAATTTGAAACAATCTTTTTTTTTAGAATTTGAAAGAATCTCAGAAGCCCCACGCGTTTTATTTTTGAAAAAATTTGACACAATCTCGAAGGCGCTTAGTGTTTTCGTTTTTGAAAGCAGTTGAAAAGATATAGGAAGCGCCTAGTATTTTGTTACTGAAAAAAATTGAAAAAATGTGGAGGCCTCTAGTGCCTTTTTCAAAAATTTGGGAAAAATCTCGAGGGTCCCAAATGCCTTTCTTCACAAAAATTTGAAAGAATCTCGGGCTCCCTAATGTTTAGCCCTGAAAAAATTTGAAAAAATTTCAATGCTCCCTAATGCCTTTTTTTAAGAATTTGAAAAAATCTCCCAGGCTCTTGTTTACTTTTGAAAGAACTGAAAAAAAATCTCGGGGAAAGAATGAAGTTGAAACCCTAATATTGTTATTGAAAAAAAAAGAAAAAATCTCGAGAACCCTTAATGCCCTTTTTAAGAATTTTTGAAGAAATCTCGTGATCTCTGGTGTTTTATTTCTGAAAAAAGTTGAAAGAATCGAGGGGATTCATTGTGGCTTTTTTTTAAGAATTTGAAAGAATGTTGGGAGGCTCTAGTGTTTTTGTTTTTGGAAGAAGCTGAAAAAATCTCGAGGGTCCCTAATGCCTTTTTTCACAAGAATTTGAAACAATCATCTTAAAGGTCCCTAATGTTTTGAAAAAATCTTGGAGATTCTAGTGTATTTGTTTTGTTTTTGAAAGAATTTGAGAGAATCTTAGGCTTAGTATTTTCGTTTTTGAAAGAAGTTGAAAAGATCTCTGAAGCCCCCAGAGTTTTGTTAGTGAAAAAATTTGGAAGAAATCTCGAGGACTCCTAAAGCCCTTTGAAACAATCTTCTTGGGGGTCTCTAGTGATTTGTTTCTGAACAATTAAAAAAAATCTCGGGGGTCCCTAATGTCTTTTTTTCTTAAGAATTTGAAAAAATCTCGGAGTTCCTGGTGTTTTATTTCTGAAAAAGTTGAAAAAATCTTGGTTGTCCCTAGCGCCATTTTTTTAAGAATTTGAAAGAATCTCAGGGACTGTTTTATTTTCGAAACAATTTCTAGGAATCTAGCTAGTGTTCTGTTTTTGAAAGAACTTCAAGAAATCTCGAGGGTGCCATGTGTTTCTTTTTAAGAATTTGAAAAAATCTCTGGGTCTCAGGTAATTTATTCTTGGAAAACGTTGAAAGAATTTCGGAGCTTCGTTTACTAATTTCAAAAAATATTGGGGTTCCCTGGTGTTTTGTTTTTGAAAGAAGTTGAAAGAATTTCAGGAGTCCCTTGTGTTTTATTTTTGAAAGAACGTGAAATATGTCAAAAGATTTTCAAAGGGTTTCGGGGTCCGTGATGTTTTATTTCTGAAAAAATTTGAAAAACCTGGAATGTTTCTAGCGCTTTTTTCACAAGAATTTGAAAGCATCATCTTAAGTATCTTTGGTGTTTTGTTTCTGAACAATTTGAAAAAATCACGAGGTTCTCTAATGCGTTTTTTTTTTTTAATCTGAAAGAATCTCGGGGTCCCTAATGTTCTGTTCTGAAAAAATTGAAAAAATCTCGCAGGTCCCTAATACTTTTTTTTTAATTTGAAAGAATCTTGGACACTAGTGTCATTTTTTAAAATTTGAAAGAATCTCTGTTTTTGTTTTTGAAAGAAACAAAACCTTGTTTTGTCTGAAAAAAAATCGAGTCCCTAATGCCTTTTTCAAGAATTTTGGAAGAAATTTCGAAATTTGGTGCTCTATTTTTTAAAAAAGTTGAAAGATTCCAGGGAATCCTTTCTGTATTTTTTTTTTTTAATTTCAAAACATCCCCGAGACTCATTATTTTATTTTTGAAAGAATTTGGAAAAACGTTGGGGGACCTATTGTTTTTGTTTTTAAAAAAGTTGAAAAAATCTCGATGGACCCTAATGCCTTAAAAAAAATTGAAAAAAAAACTCGAGCGTCCCTAATGCTTTTTTTTAGAATTTGAAAGAATTTTGGATCCCAAGTGTTTTCTTTTTAGAATTTGAAAGAATCTCGAAAGCCCCTAGTGTTTTGTTGTGAAAAAATTTGAAAAAATCTTGAGAGCCTCTAGTACCTACTTTATAAAAATTGGGAGAAATCTCAAGAATTCACAAGAATTTGAAAGAATCTTCTTGAGTCCCTAGTGTTCTATTCCTGAACGATTTGAAAAAATCTCGAGAGTCTCTAATGTCTTTTTTTTAAGAATTTGAAAGGATCTCGGGTTTTATTTCTGAAAAAGATTTAAAGAATTTCGATTATCCCTGGTGCCTTTTTTTAAGAATTTAAAAAAATCCCAAGGACTCTTTTATTTATTTTTGAATGAATTTGAAGAAATGTCGAGAGTCCTAGTGTTCTGATTTTGAAAGAATTTCAAAGAATCTCGAAGGTGCTAGTTTTTTTTTTTAAGAATTTGAAAAATCTCTAGGTCCTAGGTAATTTATTTTTGAAAAATGTTGAAAGAATCTCGGCGGCCCTTGTGTTTTATTTTTGAAAGAATGTCGAGGGGTCCTAGTGTTTTTTTTTTCTGATAGATTTTGAAATGGTTTCAGGGTGCGTGGTTTTTATTGCTGAAAAATTTAAGAACCTCGAGGGTTTCTAGCGCTTTTTTTTAAGAATTTGACAGAATCACAGGATCTTCAACAAATTATTTTTCAAAGAAGTTGAAAGAATCTCTGGGTTCCTTTGTGTATTTTTTTAACATTTTGGGGGTCCGCAGTGTTTCATTTTTTTGAAAAATTTGAACGAATCTTCGATCCCTTTTTC